TTGCTAATTATGATTGGTCAAATCACATGTTGTTTACATGTAAATCATATAATACCATATGATATTGGTTACACGATATTGATCTACAATCTATTTTATATGAATTTGGAAATAGTTACACTCTACTCTTAATATATAACAATTAATTTTAATCAATAAAAAATGATTATATATTATATATCAATAAAAATCTATTTAAAAAATTTTATAATGTTAACTATTTAAATATTAATCATTATCTGGTTTAAATTATAAAAAAAAAATTTTTTTTATAACTATTATTATAAAATTTTTATTATAATTTTAAATTTAATAAAGTAGTCAAGCTTTTATAAATTATTCTTGTAAATAGTAAGTCTAATAAAAACTATTGTTATTTAAAAAATATTAATTACTATAATTAAGTTAATAGGTGATTCTCCAGTTAACTAGTTCAAAAATTTTTTTTTTATATATAAATTTTACTATAAGTACATATAGCACCTCTATTTAAAACTTTTTTATACTAAGTTAATTATCTTTCTAACTTAAGAGACTTTTGTAAAGCTTATTAAAATGCATTCAATAGTGGTTAGAATGTCAAAATCAGCTTGGTAAATACTGAGATATCTTTAAAAACCCTTTATTTTACTATGTAAATTTCTTTGCAAACAATAGTATTGCTTGTAAAGAAATTTATATAGTAAAAGAAAGGTTTTTTTAAGATGTCTTGGTATCCACCAAGCCAATTTTGATATTCTAACCACTATTAGATACATTTTAATAAGCTTTACAAAAGTTTCTTAAATCAGAAAAATGATTAACTTAGTATAAAAAAGGTTTTAGATAGAGGTGCTGTATGTTTGTATTTATAGTAAAATTTATATATAAAAAAAAATTTTGAACCAGTTGACTGAAAAATTACCTATTAAAAAATTTATATATAAATAATAAACAAAAAAGTTTTTTTTTTAATTATAAATATTATTAAAAGCTAAATAAAAATACAAAGCAGATTAGAAATACAGTCAAACCTCTCTATAATCACACACTTGGGATACAAAAATGGGTGATTGTATGGAAGTGTGATAGTTATAGAGGTTAAATTTATTATATTTAATAATAGTTTGTTTTTAAAAAAATATACTTATAAAGAAAATATGCTTATATAGAAGGTGACTATAGAGAGGTTGGACTGTATAATTAAACTATCTAAAACTATACAACAAACAAAACCAAAAAAAGAGAAACAAAAGGGATTTGGTAAGATAAAGTGAATTAGTTGTTATAGAAACAAATATAGAACAAATAAATAGTTATTTTTTTTATAGCAAGAATAAGATATAAATTGTTTATTAAATTATAACTAACTTTATTATTTAAAGATAGATTTTAATACTCTTATAACTATAGTGAATTGCTATTTTATTTATATAAAAAAGAAGATAATATAAAAAGCAAAAGGAAACCAAAGAATACAAAGTTTTATCTCTTATATTATTAGTATAACTTTCTATATATCTTTTTATCTATCTTTTTCTTACAATGTTATTAGTGATGTTTCCATATTGCTATACCTTATTATCTATTTTGCTTTTTTTTTATTGATAATTGTCTAATTATCATTTTTTTTTAGCTTGGTTTGGTCTGTTATTTACAGAAAGATGAGCTCTCTATGGACTTATTCCTTTTACTTAATCTTTATTTCTCAGCTTACTGTAGTTTTAAAATCTTTATAGCTATTATTTAGTTACAATTTGGCTACGTACTATTTGGCTACAATATTCTTCTAATAGCTTATATAGTAATTACCTAATTTAGATGTTTTTGAAGCTTTGTTTGCTCTATTTTTCTTTGAGACAAGGCTAGCTTAGTACAAGTAATACAAGTTTTGTTTGTATATATGGTTTTGTAATATTATAAATATAGCAGTTTTGCTACTAATAATATTAATAGTTAAAATATAAAGTATATTTATATAAAATATACAATTAGAATAATTCTAATTATAAATTATTTTATATATATTTATAAATAATCAAATTAAAATTTATTAAGTATAATTAAAAAAGTAATACAATAAAATTATTATTTGTAATTAAAATCACCAAACTTCCTGTTGATATCTTCTTGATATTTCTAATATTTTAATATATTTTTCTGCATCCACTTTACTCATTTTACCTTCAGATATAAAAATATATTTAAAAGTATCCATAACATCTGTAGGCATTTTATCAGACTTCCTAATTTAAGAATTAAAATTAAAATTATATAAAAATTTAAATAACTTTAATTACAAAGCTTTAATTACCCTGAAATATATATATATCCCTCTCTTTCATGCACAATATCCCATACCAATTGTGCATTTTCTTTTAAAATATCTTGTACATACACTTTTTTATTCTTAATATTCAAGATTTAGATTAATATTATTTATAGTTAATTCAATATTTTACATATATTTTTAATAATACCTGATCTCTAGAGAAAGCTACAAACACTTTTAATTGTCCTTCATCAACATATTGTTTCCACTGATCTTTATAATAGTAATCTTTATCCTGATATCTGCATCCAAAAAACAAATAATTTTCTAAAAAAATATATAATTAATATAATTGTTTTAAAATTTTAAATAAATGTATTTTTAAAAATATATAAGAATAGAGAAGTTTGGTTTAGTTTAGTTTAATTAAACTTTGATATATATAATTAAAACTAAACTATCCAAATTATAAAGTTTTAAATGACTAGTTTAAAAACTTAGTTTAGTTTATATAAACTAAATAAATATTGTATTTTTATGTACTCCTTACATTATAATACATAATCATGCATAATCATGCATATTTATATAAGTCTATGCAAAAGGTACATATAAATATGTAAGGAGTACATAAAAAATACATTATTTATAATTTATATACAAACTGCACTATCGCTATTTTCGAAATGGTTGAGAATAGTGGCTTGGCTTTACAAAAAAAAATTTTTTGTGAATACCTGAAAACCCGAAAACCCGAATAGTCCAGCATACTGATCGATAATCGATTCCGATGTTCTAAACTAATCAGGTTTTCGGGTATTCGCATAAAAAAATTTTTTTTTGTAAATCTTGTTATTCTCAACCATTTCGAAAACAGAGATAAAACTAGTTTAAATGGGTTTAAAACCTAAACCTGGTTTATAAAATAACCTATTCTTAAACTAGTTTTAAACTGGTTTTTTTAGAAACTTCCCCATCCCTAAGAATATACCTGTCGCTCCTTCATATATGCGTTCCTCCAAGAAAGCACGCATAACTGAAACTCCAGTTCCTAAATTCACAATATTGTAATTAACTATCAATAACCTTAAGGAATATTTAACTTTTTTTTTCTTTACCTGGTCCAATAAGAATAATTGGGGTAGAAGTTGAAGCTGGCAATCCCAGTGTTCCTCTCGAAATTGAGATTGGAATAAAACATTCATCTATTTATATATGAGCTTTAATTTTTTTGAATGTGTATGAATATAGCCTTTCATGATGAAACTGACCTGGAACCAATCCAGATAGCCATTTAGTACAAACCCCTTCTCTTGGTTTTTGCAATTTAGTTTTATATTTTACTATAGCAACAGTTAAATGAATCTGTCCTGGATGAGCTTTTAAAGAAGAAGATATTGAAAATTGTCGAGGCTGTATTTCTGGAAACATATCAATTATATATTCTAAAGGAATTTCAGCAGAGGAAAAATCTTGAAGAACTTCAGCAATCGTACGCCGAACACGTTGATTATACGCGTATAAGTCATCCTTCATATAAAAAATAAAAACTTAGCCATGACATAAGTACATATTGTAATGTAAATAATATATCTTACTTGACCCTCTGCAGAACAAAATTCTCTTAGTTTTTCTATATGGTCTTCGTTTGTAACGAAAAATTTTAAAAATTCAAAGAATGATCGGCGAGGTGTACTAAAAATATCCAGATAATCTTTAAACAATTTTCTCAGTGTTAAAGGAAAATTCCAATGAGAAGGTATTTTATGATCTAGTATGTAATAAAATTTTTTTTTAAATTTAAGCTAAAAGCGTATTATAATATAAAAGTTTTTTATTAAATAACCTTCATCATTTGGTATAAGAACGAAAGCGTCATCTGCAATATTGGATAAATCCATCATTTTGATAAATTCGTTCACTTCTTCGGGCAAATTTTTTGGACGGATGACTGCAACATCACCAGGAACATACCTAAATGTAGACCAAAATTAAGAAAAAAATCTATTGAAATATTTTTACACAGATAAAAACTCACTTAAGTTCAGCACCATCGA